TTTTTTTTTTTTTTTTTTTAGTTTTTATTGGAGTACAGTTGCCCTGATGCTGGGAAAGATGGAAGGCAGGAGGAGAAGGGGACGAGAGAGGATGAGACGGTTGGATGGAATCACCGACTTGATGGACATGAGTTTGAGCAAGTTCCGGGAGTTGGTGATGGACAGGGAAGCCTGGCGTGCTGCAGTCCGTGGCGTGGCAAACAGTCGGACACGACTGAGCGACTGAATTGATGCTTGCTTTACAATGTCCTGTTAGTTTCAGCTGTACAGCGCAGTGAATCACCTATGCCTGTACACATGTCTTCTCTTTTCTGGATGTCCTTCCCCTTTGGGTCGCCAGAGAACATTGAGTAGAGGTCCCTGTGCTATACAGTAGGTTCTCATAAAGCCTCTTTCTATCCATTGCAGTCCCTACCATACTGTGATTTGTGTTTATAAGTGTGTGTGTGTGTGTGTGTGTGTGTGTCTTCGTGAACATCCTTATGGTCTCTGGTTTCCTATCTTGCCCACAGTAGGTGATCAACAATCATTTCTCAAATGACTTCCAGGCTGCAGATGGACAGAGACGCTAACTCCAGCCCTGTTTTCGGTGGTCACTCATTGTCCCCATGAGTCCAAACTCCCAGCCTCTCGGACCTGTCTTCAGCCATTTCACACTCTGCCCCTCCGCTGGGCTTCCCCGGGGAGCTCAGCTGAGAAGAACCCGCCTGCACTGTAGGAGAGCCCGGGTTGCCCTGGGTCAGGAAGCTCCCCTGGAGAAGGGCTAGGCTGCCCACTCCAGTGTTCTTGGTCTTCCCTGGTGGCTTAGATGGTAAGAGATCCAGGAATCCGCCTGCAGTGTGGGAGACCTGGGTTCGATCCTTGGGTCAGGAAGATTCCCTAGAGAAAGGGAATGGCAATCCACTCCAGTATTCTTGCCTGGAGAATCCCATGGACAGAGGAGCCTGGCGGGCTACAGTCCATGGGGTCGCACAGAGTCGGACACAACTTTGTGACCAAGTACAGAGCACAGCCCCACGCCCCCCCACCCACTGCCGGGGGCCTGGAGCCGTGGCGCCTGGATGAGACACACCTTCACTGCCCAGGCCCCCTCACCTCCCCCGCTCACAGCTCGGGGCTTGGCATTAGGCTAATTGTGGTGTACAAAGGGAAACGGTCCCAGTGACTCAACCTCAGTCCCCAGCCCCCTCGTTCAAGAACCAGCCTGCACTACCAGCATGTGGCCACAAGGGGCTCTCTGGAGGTGCCTCTTTGCCCAGGGGAGGAGGTCACTGGTGGGCAGCTCTGCCCTGATGAAGGCTTAGGGGTCTCCCCCTGTCCAGGGTCTCCAAGTGCTGAAGCCCCACCATCCCTCTTGGGGGCCTCATCCTGGTGTTTTACCTGCAGCCATCTGGAAGCTGTTTTTTTATCTTAACCCAGTACTCCTTGCTTTCCCGTGAGCCTCTCTTCTGGGCACCCCCTCTACTGATTGTGGCCACAGGGGGAAGTCACCTCCACTTTTGTCAGTTCCTCTTCCTTTAAATGAGGGCCAGACCTACATCATGAGCTCCCTGTCTTTCAGGATGTGGGCTAGGAAATTGTCCCGTTCCATCTCTTCAACACCTCCTGCCTGTCCGCTTCTGCCCACACTGCCCGCTTCTGCCCCCCAAGTTTGGGGCTCCCTGACTTGGGCCAGAATGAATGCAGTGGCTTTATGGAGGATTTCCTGTCTCCAGACTCCCCCTGCCCATCCACTTTCCACCCTGGAGCCAGAGAGATCTAACTCTCACCAGGCACTGGCTTTTCAATGGTCCCGCAAGTCCCGGTCACTCAGACAGTACCCCAGGGCTCCCCAAGACCCAGCTGCCCGATTCTCCAGCCTCACCGCCCTCCTCTCTCACCCTCCAACAAGCTGCACTGAAATACTTGCCGTTGCTCAACACACATGATGTTTTAAGCCTTTGTACTTTGCCCGCAATCCTTCCCGTGGCCTGATGGTCTACCCACCTCTCTCCCAGCCTCCCCCACCTTTACCTTTGCTCCTCATCCTTCTTCCACCTGGCAGAGCCCTGTTCATCCTCAAAGCTGCCAATGCTCCTGAGAGGCCTGCCCTAAGCCCAGCTCCTTCCCATGCCCCAGCACCCCTCCTCTGAGTAGATCCTGTCCCCCAAACACACATCTCTCATCCTACCAGTCGCTCAGTGTTGTGATAATTCCTTGTAGCTTATCCGGCCTCCTTCCCCGTCTCTGGACTTCCCTATGGGACCGGGGTGGCACGCTGCCTGAAAGCTGTTGCACCTAGGTAGCTGGCTCTCTGCACCATCACCTCCCACCTTGAACCAAGTCCTTTAAATGCTCCTGAACTTCCCCTTAACTGATCTGCAAAACGAAGAGACGTGAGCTTCGGAAGGGGGCACGTACATGAAAGAACCTAATAAACAGTTAAGGGCTATGCATGTGGTTTTGTTGCGTTTTCTTCCTCCAGACTAGTGTTTACCTGCACTTGCCTGTGTGGAAATCATAAGATCAAAGGAATGTGGATGTGATCTTTTTTGTAGTTTCTCCACCTTGAGTCCAGGGGAAAGCTGGTGAAGGGTAAACCATTAATTCTGTCCCCTCCAGCAGCTCCTAGTCTTCTCAGAAGCCCTGGGTTAATGATTCCGAGGTTGTTTTCCTCACAGGGTCAACTCGTATCTAATCTTTGGCATGGCATGTCCTTTCTTTCTTAAGAGAAACTTGACTCATCCTGGGGTCAGGAAACTTGTTTTGCAGGGGAACTCAGTGCGTGTGTATAGGTCTCAGGCTATCTCCCTTTCTCATCGGTGGCCCCACCATCACCAAGAGCCCACCATTCCCCCGCAAACAGAAGAGACCTCTCCTCTCCCCCCTCCCCACACTGTGATCTGTGGAAGTCACAGACTGAAGGTCCAGCCAACAAGGAAGCCGTCACCTAACAAATAATCTCCCTCATATGAGATTTAAGGATCTGGTGTTGGAAACCCAGGAAGAAAAAAGTCCCTGAAGCTTGTGCATGAAGAAACCCTTCTGAGCCTGGCATTCAAGAGTTTAATTAGCAGCTCAGGAGGACGGGATTGCAGAAAGAGGCAGCTCCATTCAGGAGTGGACCCTGGAATTCCAGGTAGGAGCTTGTTTACGGCTGCAACGCAGGTCACGCCAGAGGCTGGAAGCTTGGGAGTGAGACACAGCCGTGGAGATAAGGCCAGCTAAGTGCTGTGGGTTCACTGAAGTTCAAAAACTGATTCACAGCGTGTCCCCAGCCCCCACTTCCCAATCCAGTAAAATTGATGCTCCTCTCTGTGGTTTTGGAACACGGCGTTAAGAATGCTGGTGCCTCAGGCTCCTGAGCTGGTCCTGTCTAAGACGTGTTTGCTTGCCTCCTTCCCATACTTCAGACAGGACTTTGCGTAAAAAGGTGGGCTGGTAGATCACTGTTCTGTAAAGATCCTGTTGTGCGACTGGAGCAGGTTACCTTCTCTGAGCCTCAGTGGTCTCATCTGTAAAATAGGCATATCGTTCCTTCGTTTCCTAATAACCAGAGTTCTTGTAATTTACCTTAAATAAATGCAACGTGAAGAGACCAGGCACTTCTGACAGATCACTTTTGTGCATATATAAAAGTGAAAACATGAGGGAAAGGCATTGGCAATAATTTCACAACTGCCACAGCGATCATAGGACAATCCGATTTCAGAGATGGTATGATGTGAGAAACACACCTGTGTACCCACTGTCTTGCCTAAGACAGAACAGTTCCCAGCAACACTGACAGCCTTGGACCCACTTCCTTGATCTAGCCTGTCCACCCTAGAGAAAACTGTCCTGAATTTTGCATTTACTATTCCCTCACTTTTGGTACAGTTTTATGAAACCTACCCCCTATGCAGGGCTTTCCTCGTAGCTCAGTTGGTAAAGAATCTGCCTGCAATGCAGGAGACCTGGGTTCGATTACTGGGTGGGGAAAATTCCCTGGAGAAGGAAATGGCAATCCACTCCAGTATTCTTGCCTGGAAAATCCCATGGACAGAGGAGCCTGGCAGGCCATAGTCCACGGGGCTGCAAGAATCGGACATGACTTAGCGACTAAACCACCACCACCACCCCACCCCTCCGCCATGCAATACATTGATCTTATTTCTGAATGGTTCTGTAAGTAGATTACATCCCATTCTTTGATGTCTTTAAAAATCATGAGAAGTTGATCTGTGATAGTGTGTATAGCTCCAATTCTCACTATTGAATATCCCACTCTCTTCCTAACCTACTGTATTAATCCTGTTGATGGAAATTTGGGCTGTTTCCAGTGTTTTGCTCTTAAGTTCTTTTGCTATAAACATGCTCATAGTGGTTTCTTAGAACATGTGTGTTTCTCCTGGGTATATACCTGGGAGGGGAATGGCTAAGTCTAGATGAGAGTGCTCACTGTTCTGACAGCCAGCAAAAACTGCTGCACCTTATTTCTGTCCACTGAACAGCGTGAGGGGACGGGAGTTCTGTTCTCACTTTGATTACAGACCTGCAGGGGTAATAAACATTGATAGAAAGGATCGGGAGATGGTGAAGGAGAGTTTTCCAGGCCAGTCTGACTTTCAGCCATGGCCCTGAGCAGCAAAGCCAGAAAGGAGTGGAGGCCAGATGGGGCACCACTGTTGGCGCTGGGCATATGTGTGAGGTGGGGCTGCCCTTGACCAGACCAGTCTCAGGCTGCGGCTCCACTGACATCACAGAATCCACTGTGACATCATAGCCGGGCTGCGGGACCTGGAAATGCAGAGAGAACACTGCAGGCCGTTCTCAGGTTGTATGGTTCTTTTATTTAAGCTGCAGTAAGGAAGCTGGCATACGCTCGCCAGGGATATTTCCCTGAGCCCTGGTCCCCTTTGCAGCTTTCAGCTCTAGGTCCTATTGATGAGCTTCAACGGTCACTGTCTCCATGGCCTCGGATGTCACGCTCCCAGCGATTTCCAGCCCCTGGCCACTCTCTGTTGTCTCCATGATGGCCTCCATTCTTTTCCTTTCCACCACCTTCTCCAAGAGGTCCACATCTTTATTGTGTGACAAGGCCACTGTCTTGGGAGTGAGACTGGCTCGGACATTCCTCAAGAAAGAGCTGATCCTGCTGAGTCTCTTGCTGCTGGACAGTGAACTCCCGGCAGATAAGCTCCGGGACTCCTTGGTGATGGGAGCGTGGCTGATGCCTTTGTGCTCCGCGCCCCGCTTGCTGTCGCCCAGACGGCCGTGGCCTTTCTCCTTTTTGCCATCCTTCACGGCCCTCCGGCCGCCTGAGGACCTGCCGGCCGTCTTCCGAATCGCCTTGTCCCCCGCGGGCTTGGGGCGGGTTTCGGCTGCCCCGCGGGGACGTGAGCCCCTGAGAGCTCGCTCCTTCTCCCGGTGTTCCTTCCTCNTTTCGGCTGCCCCGCGGGGACGTGAGCCCCTGAGAGCTCGCTCCTTCTCCCGGTGTTCCTTCCTCTCCCTTCTTCCCCTGCGGGCCTGCGACACCTGGGGCCTGTCTTCCTCTTCACTCTCTCGGTCTTCCTGCGGCAAGGCTGAGATGAGGGTCCCCTCGTCGTCCTCATCGGCTTTTCGTCTGGCGGTCTTCCTGGTGGCCTCCACTCCAACCGTAGTCACGCTGGCTTCCGGGGAGAGGCTGGTGGACGTGCTGGAACGGTACTCCAAGTTTTTGGCAGCGTGTGCCAAGGCCGTTTTCCTGGTCCTCAGGGAGCTTTTGGCAGCGCCTGCCATGGCTATGTTGCTTTTGCTTCCTCCCAGGCCCTTGGTGACGGTGACTTCAAGGGCCGTGCTCCGCTCTTCAGAGGCATGGGACTTGGTCACGTTCAGATCACCCTCTGTGGCGTCTGCTGAGGCCACCTGCGTCATCGCCCCCTCTGCTGACTCTTCGTGGAGCTGGCTGGGTTTGGTGTTTGCCTTGGCCCCGTCAGGCCCAGGATCGGGATTGTAGAAGTCCAGCTGGAGGCCCTCCCCTCCGGCAAAAGCTGCAGAGGTGGCCCCGGCCACCTCGGAGCCCGCGTGGAGGCTCCTGACGCTTACCTGGTCCTGATCGCCCCGGCCTTGGAAATCCACGGCCGCCGCGGTCCTCCTGTCCTCCTCGAACACGGGCATGCAGATCACATCCCCCGCTGGAATGGCGTAGGTGCTGCTCTGGCAGTCCACCGGCGGCCGCAGGAGGTAGACGAGCTTCTCCCAGTAGGTGAATAGGTCTTCCCGCGAGTCCAGCGGGGGGCACAGATGCAGGTAGCAGGAGCGGCCGGTGGCGAACTTCAGGCGCAGCTGTTGTTTCTCGCGGTCGTGAATGGAGATCCTCACGAACTTCAAGGGAAGGAGCCTGGTGAGCTCTAAGGTCTTTGCAGCCTTGCGGCTCTTGGCCTTGGTGGTCTGGCCGCGGCCGTGGTCATCGCAGCCGGTGGCCGGCCGGGCCAGTAGCATGACGTCTGGGAGGGGAAGGAGGGGGCTGGTGGATGCGATGCCCACGGTCACCATGCGGACGCGGTTGTGCACGTCGATCACTTCTCCCCTCTTGGTGATCTGGATAAAGTCGCTCTCGAAGATCGGGGCATACTTGAATATGTCGTACTCACCCTTGTGCAGTTGCCGCTGCAGTTTGCCCCTGGTGGTGGTGAACAGGCCTGCTCCGGCGCTGCTCTGGGCCGTGTGATACGGTAGCAGAGACTCCGGGCTCATGGCTGGCTGTGATCACGACAAGCCGCCCTGGTGAGGTGGGCCCCTGGGTCTTCCTTTCCTTGGCCTTCTTGGTAGAAGAGGGAGCCGCGGTCTCCTGTGTCATGCAGGCGGCTCCACGGCAGGTCCCCCAACCCCACCACACCCCACAGAGCCTCCCAGAGGCAGCGGTGGGGGTACGGGCACGGGTAATCCCCGTGAGGATGCTGCAGGGAGCCTGGACCCCAGGCTGAGTCTCCTCAAGGCTGTTGTAGAGGTGTGGTAGGCTCCTGCTCAGCCTCACCTCACTTCTGCTTCTGGCTTTTTGTCTCTGCGAGAGGCTGTGAAACTGCAGTCCTAGTGAAAGAAGTGACCACTCTCTCAGCCTAAACCCCCTGTGCGGCCATATTTATCCTCACTGTCCTTTGTGACCTGTCGCTGTCACATACGCCTTTGTCCCATCCCTCAACCACCCCCTCCAGGCAGGGCCACCCCATTGCCCACAGAGGACAGGTCCATCCTGCCAGGGACTCAGGCAGGTACCAAAATAAAAATGTCTTCAAATGGGAAAGTTTTATCTGGTTCTCTTTTACCACCCCCCACCCCCCCACAAATTCAGCAACTGGATGAAGCCTATAGGAATGTCAGAGGATGGGATGCATTTGAGCCATTTGAGCTCATGGTTTAACTATATCGAACAATGTAGAATTGGCAGTCTCAGTCCTTAGTCTATCCATTAATAAAATCTCAGTAAACTTGGAGGTGATTTTAATAGTAACATTAAAAATTGCTTCTCCAAACCCATGCAGTGTTCTTGACGTATGGTCGTAAGAGTCCATTGAGTTTATTGCTGCTACTGTTCCCAGTTCACAGGTGAAGAAACTGAAGTGCTATCTCTTAGATCTGATGTTAGCAGAGGCAGGGTTTGAATGCAGGTCTACCTGATTCTTAAGCCTTTGTTCTGAATGCTACAGTACTTAGCCTCACAAAGAAAGCTTGGGCCCACCAAATGTATTCACACTGGACTGGTTTAACTACCTTTACAAGAAGACCTGTTTTTAGAATTTGAATAATTCTATGTGCGTATATATGTTATGGAAAGAACCCAAGGCAGTATATGGGCTGGATTGGGGATTGAATTATCCGGGAGATCGCCTCAGATCTTCCCCAATTTCAGTTGAGTTGCTAGGTCATATTCGACTCTTTGTGACCCCATGGACTGCAGCACACCAGGCCTCCTTGTCCATCACTAACTCCCAGAGTATCTCAAATTCATGCCCATCTAGTTGGTGATGCCATCCAGCCATCTCATCCTCTGTCGTCCCCTTCTCCTCNTTCTCCCAGCACTCTTGATTCCAGCTTGTGCTTCCTCCAGCCCCGCGTGTCTCATGATGTACTCTGCATAGAAGTCAATAAGCAGGGTGACAATATACAGCCGGATGTGCTCCTTTCCCGATTTGGAGCCAGTCTGTTGTTTCATGTCCAGGTCTTACTGTTGCTTCTTGACCTGCGTACAGATTTCTCAGGAGGCAGGTAAGGTGGTCTGGTATTCCCATGTCTTTCAGAATTTTCCAGTTTGTTGTGATCTACACAGTTAAGGGTTTTGGCGTAATCAATAAAGCAGATGTTTTTCTGGAATTCTCTTGCTTTTTTGATGATCCAATGGATGTTGGCAATTTGATCTCTGGTTCCTCTGCCTTTTCTAAATCCAGCTTGAACATCGGGATGTTCATGGTTCACGTACTGTTGAAGCCTGGCTTGGAGAATCTTGAGCATTACTTTGCTAGCATGTGAGATGAACGCAATTGTGCAGAAATTTGAACATTCTTTGGCATTGCCCTTCTTGCTTTATGCTTGTGCAGACAGCCCCTGCATGGAAACCTACCTCTTTGCTCTCAGCACATGTCCTCCCATAGTGAGTTGGGGGATGAGTAGCCTGAAATGTAAGCTCCAGTTCCAAGACTCTGCTAGGTGCCCTCCCGGAGGGTAATATCTCTCTACTGGGCAGAAGTTGTTTGGAAGCCTTGACACCTATAGGGAACACGTACTGTTAGACACCCTGCCTCACTGCCACGCTCACAGAGCTAATCACAGAATAAGTGATTTCTAAATTGTGACTTGAAAGTTCTGAGAAAGGCCCCTGCTCCAAATTCTTTTATCTGCAGTTTGATGCTATGCCTGAACTCCCACCTTAGGGAGTCATACCTTCCATTAAATGTACACAGATGCCCATCAAAAGATGATTAGATAAACAAAATGTAATCTATCTATGCCGTGGAATATTATTCAGCCAAAGAAAGGAATGAAGTACTGATACATTTTACGACTCGGATGAACCTTGAAAACATGCTCAGTGAAAGAGGCCACATATTAAAATGATTCTATGTCTATGACATATCCAGGAGAGACAAGTCCATAGAGACAGATATTAGGTCAGTGGTTCCCTAGGGCTGGAGGGAGGGGAGAATGAGAAGTACTGGGTTTTTTGGGGGGTTGATAAAAAGTTCTGGAACTTGATAGTGGTGACGGCTACATGGTATTGTGAATGCCACTGAACTGCACACTTTAAAATTACAGTTGTGAATTTCATGTGTATTTTACCACACACACACAAACATTTCTGCTCAGAAGCTTTATAGTTAAAAAACATAGGTCACCTATGTTTAGAAAGGTCACCTGTGTGACCTTGGGCACACTACTTAGCTCTCCAATTCCTCATCTGTAAAATGGGGATAATAGTTGCTGTGAGAATTAAATGAGATAATGTAAAGTACTGAGTAGCATTTCTCAGTAAATGTCAGCTATTATTAACGTCAGTCTCAGCTGGCCCTTTAAGCCTCGGTGTGATTTCCTTCCTGACAGCAGTTTTCCGTGAGACAGAGAAGCTTCTGTGGTTAGAGCCATGGTGAGAACTGAGGATTTTCACTGGGCAAACCTGGCCTCCTCGGAGGTTCTTCCTCAGGCAAATCCATGAACCATTTCAATATTGTAAAGTAATTAGCCTCCAACTAATAAAAATAAATGGGGAAAAAAAAAAAACACTACTCCATCGAGAAACTGCTTGAACCCCACTGAAGAGTACAGGATGGAGAAGATAGGAGAAGCTTGCTGTGGGTTTGGATTTCAGGTTTATTCAAAGCCTGTGGGAGAAATTAGGATAAAGACGGAAAACAGTCAGCATTTTAGCTTCTGGCAGAAAGTGGAAGCTTTGACCCCAGAAACCCCGTCCTGGGCTCCCCCTATGGCTGTTATACCTGGAAGCAAGTGTCAGGCCAGATCTCAGGAAAAGACACCGGGACAGGATGAGGGCAGGAGACAGGGGGTAGGGTGTGCTCTCCATGTCCAGCCAGGGTGACATTACCACCCCTGCAGGTGATGGCCCGAGGAAAAGGCCTTGTCAGCCAGGCGTCTGACTCCAGCAGAGGTCCCGTCCAAGTTTATCCTCTCAGAACACTCACCTCCCCTTGCTGCTGAGTGTGAAACAAGATGAACTAAGCAACTTGATGGTAAATACATATTAACCCCTCCTTTTTTTAAAGTGGAAACATAAACTTGGTGACTGACAACAAAACTATTTTTAATGCATTTGTTCAAAGAACTTGCAGCTCCACTGATGATTTACAGTGCGTTTCTCAGATCACTTTTTCTTGCAAAAGCCACCTCCCCCTTCCTTCCGCTCTAATTCATTGTTGTCCATGGCAGCTTTAAAACTGTCTTGAGTTTCCTAACAGCTGATTGGTGGCACAAGCAGAAGNTTCCGCCACAGATTGTAAGGTCCAAGTTGAACAGCAGGTATACATGTTAGGCCTTTGTATATTCAGAGAAACAGGTAGTTCAGATATTCAGATTTGATATAAAATTTCTACCTTTGTACCAAAAGTCTAAAGGATATACCTGCTGCTGTGTCCCAGTGTTTGTCAATGAGAGATTGAGCATTAGAATCCAGAAATTGAGGAATAGGATTGAAAGTCAAAAAGCCCACCTGGTGGCACCCCCAGAGAACAAGAACACTTGAAGAATAGTCAAAGCTCTGATCACCCCCTACATCACCATCTCCAAAGGGGAGGAGAGGAGAATGGTTAGAGCTCAATGAACAACTGATTTAAAAGAACAGAAACCGCACCATACTTTAGTTCACCATGTCTTGGTTCCAATATTTATTATATTGACAAGTTAAGAATACTAGGATAAATAAGTAATATTTTCTCTTACAGAAAATTGTAATGATACTACTGAGTAGGATTAAACACTCTGAGGATTTCACAGAAACGTCAGAATTTAAACAGATAGTAGCCAGAGACCTCCTGGCCAGTGTGAGTAGACTTTCTCACAGCTGTAAATGCTCTGGGCCAGATTTCTACAAACATCTGCATGACAGAAACGATGCCATTAACATCTAATAATGCTAAAGCCTAGGCATCACCTGGCTTCAAATGAGTGTCCACTGAATGTGGTTCTCAATCGCAAGAACAGGAAAAGTGGAATATTCTTTGGCTCTTTCAGCCTAGAAAAAAATTCCTGACCTAAGTCACCGAGCAGAGACTCCTAAGCCTTTGGAAGCTGGACTCTTGTTTCTGCTTTCTTCCTGTGACTTTATAACTGAGTTTGCAATAGAGGGCCTGCATTAATGCCTGAGAGCCAAGCGGAAAAGGTCTTTTCTATTGGCACAAAACTGTACTCAGTGCTGCCCGGCCCAATTCTCTCCTCCCAGGGCTGGCGAGCCCTTCTGGCCACCTGAACACTTAGCAAGACACTGCACGTGGCGACAGCCCCCCAAACTCTCAGAAACCAGGTCTGAGCTAAGTCACGAAAAAGTCACAGCGGTGTCGTGCAGCACAAACGTCAGTAGAGCACACGCCTAGTTTTGAAACGAACGCCTTGCACACAGCAACTCCTGTACAGAACAGCGTATTTGCTAGAAAGCACAACCCTGGCCATTGCACAACTTCACGAGATGCCATTCTCACTCCATGTCCCCTACAAGTGACAGTGGCGGCAGCAGCGGAGGAGGTGGCCCCACCCCACCCACCCAAGGTTACAGACACTTCTTCTGCATGGATCCTAATGGTGGGAGTCCTGAATTTTGCAGAATCCAGACGCGAGGGAGGCAGGACCCTAACTGGGGGTCATCTGGAGAATCCAAGGATGGCCGGGATGTTAAGGCTTAAATCCTGGAGTGGAGGCAAAAGATGCCCTTGCCCCGGTCCAAAGTCCACCCTGGAGTGGAGTGGAAAGGCCCGGCTGAGTCATGGAGGGCACTCCCACCTTGATGGTTCTTAGCTGCTGGGATTCAAGAGGTGCATAGGAAGTCAGATCTCCAATGGCTTCAGGGTTTCGGATGTAAAAGGAGGATTTGATGAGGACTCCCCAGTTGCTCCATACCACGGCTGCTTAGCTCTGCAATGTTCCCTCCTTTATCTGTTGGATAAAAAGGTTCCTCTCATCTTCTGGAGTCCGCCCATTCTGAGCCCGGACAATACACGTGGGCCGGTGCAGGTTGAGCATGTATATCAAATGCTGCTTCTCGTTTTTGAGCTCCTCAATTTGCGCCTTCAGCTCAGCATTCACACTCTCCAGCTTCTCCGACTCCTGGGTCACAAGCAATAGAGGTATTAGGAAAGGAGCCAAGGGAACTTCCCTGGTGGTCCAGTGGTTAGGACTCTGCTTCCACTGCTGGGGCCCGGGTTCAATCCCTGGTTGGGGAACAAAAGTCCCACAAGCTGCCTGGTGCAGCCAAAAAAAAAAAAAAAAAAAACAAGGAAAGGAACCAAGGTCCAGTGAGGAAGGGGTGGCCTGCTGGTGGCCCCTGGATGGCAGGGGCAAAGGCTGGAACACATCGGGGCTCATCAAGTAGGGAATGGCCTGCAGGGGAATGCTGTTGGTGCCCTCTATGAAGCCCCACAAAGCTGGGAGAGCAGCGTTAGGTTTGAGAGAGTCCAGAGCTTGGAGAAGCCTTTGAACTTAGAGCTCCTTCAGAGATATTCTGGAGTTTCCACTCAAGGTGGAGGCAGGCTGTGACCCTAATAGTAATGGAACAGCTGTAGAACCAATAGCAGAGACCTCCTTTGTGAGAATCAAAGAGCCCATAGGCAGATCATCTGGACGGGAAAGGACCTGGGGGCTGGAAGGAGATCCAGACTCACGGTGTTTAGAGTCTTATATGAGTCTCTGATTTCACTGAGAAGCTCATCTCCACAGAAAGAATGTACATAGAAATAAACAAAATGTCTTAATTTTCATTGACCCCTCCCTCCCCGCCCCCCATGCAACCTGTGGAACCCAAGTGAAGACTCTGCCCTGGCCTGTCCTCACTTGGGGAAGGGGACACAGCCACTGCAAAGACTGCACCAGGGATCTGCTCCACCTGCCTGGAGACACCTCTCCCACCGGTGTTTCTCCCTTCTGGAAGGGGAGAACGCAGCTGGAAGCACAGACTATCAGCTGCGCCAAGAAGGGCTGCAGAGTTAAGAACCAGGTAAGAATGCAAAGAAAGTGTAATCTCTGCCTGCGGATCAAGGAAATAACTTTTTTGAAGAGGTTAATTAAAGGCTTTTCACAGTGAGCCAAATGAAAGCTGGCAGCTTCCTTTTCTCAGGAAAATGGGCGAGCGAAGCCCCTTGAACTGGACAGACATATCCGACAGCCTGGAAGCTTCTGGACACATATGGACTGGTTGAGGATGAATGCGGGCATCAGATGATCTCGTTGTTTTTAATTCATACACCGGTATATCTTATACATCCAGATACATTTATCTTACTAACAGCTTTACTCCTTCCTCGTTCTGTAACTGGCATTTCTGCCACCAGCTACAATGTCCTTCCTGGGAAAGCACTTCTGGGTGGAGTCTTTCAAACTCCTCTTGCTCATGGGATGTGAGGTTGGAGGGGGCCAGGTGTGAGCAACGGGGGGTGGGAGGGGGCAAGGCAAACAGGCACTCACTTTCTGAAGGCACTCTGTCTTTTCCTTCTTCTTGTTTCGGCACTTGGCAGCTGCAATCTTATTTCTTTCCCGTCGCCTCTTTTTCCTTTCATCTTCTTCAGGCGCTACCTGTAAAATTCAAGAGGCACAAGCTTAAAGGAAGGCCAGAAATTCAACCCACCTCAAATACACTGCCTTTTATTTCCAGCTAAAACTGACAGACCGGGGTAGCCCCGAAGAATTCAGAAGAAGTAAAGCTCTGGACTTTTGCATGAAACCTTAACACATGCGCACATACTCAAGCACATGCATGCACATGCACACACTCACACTTAAGAATGAATAGTGGAAATCAAAGATCTGTTAAAATTATATTGTCAATACTAGTAAACTAAAATTTTACCTTTAAAAAGCATTTATTTGGATTTTAAAATAGGAATTTGATACTCAAAATGATAACGACTGGTAATAACTGTAATCAACTAAAGCAAGAAACAGATTTTGTTCAGTAAGTATGACCTTTCCCCCAGAATGACCTCAGGAGCATCACTTCGCCACCCATTCCCCCTGCCTCTTTTACTCATATTCCATTCATCTCCATCGTCACCTGCAGCTCCTAGAGAATAGGAACCCAAGCCTATTCCTCAATCAAGAGGCATCATCAGCCCATGGCTTGGTGCCACCTGGGGGTGGAGAGCTAGAACTATCCACTGACTCAAGCATTGATGATACTGATCTCTCCCTTGGAGCCCCACCCTGAGTCAGCCCTGGGATCCTCAGAGAAGAAAACCCCATCCGGCTTTAGGATCTGGTCCTCCATGGATGATCACTCTGACTTTGTCTGAGGACTGATGGCGAATCAGCAAAGTCCAGTTTCTGGACTGACTCAGAGACTGGAGTCCAGCTGGAGTGAACTCACAGTGGGCAGAGTGGGAGATGGTTTAGGCCACTAATGTCAGGCCTTGGCATGTCACTTGTCACTGCTCCAGACAGATGGAAAGGGCATGGGAGCCCCACCTCAAATGGAAGAGATCCTGGACCACCATGATCACCTCATATAAAACTCTGGGTTAGATGATGCTAAGTTAGCTTAGGCTGAGACAGAGGCTTCAGAACATAAGGAAACCAAGCCCAAAGGGGAAACACAACGAGAGGCACTTCTACCCTTTATGTCTTAGATCCTAGAACCACACAGGCAGACACTGAGTTTAGGCTAAACTGCCTTTGAATCTCAGCTTCTCTCAGCTTCACCGCCTATCAGGTGTGAGCCCTTGTGCAAGTTATTATGCTCTTCTGAGCTTCAGTTTCCTCATTTGCAAAATGGGATCAACCATCTTACCTACCTCACAGGGTTGTGATGAGGGTCAAATTAATGTCAATAAAGCCCCCTGCACAAGGTTTAGCTTATGGTCAGTGCTATGGAAACTTCAGTTATCATCAGTAACTTCATCATAGATATCTTCATCAAGAAATCAGCAACTCTAGTATCTCCTTTGCAACTAACCCTACAGATATTTTTGTAGGGGGAAGATTCAAAGTTTTCTCATAAGAGGAAGTACTTGAAAGTAGAGCAAATCTCAAGAGTCACACTGTCAGACATGGAAAAGCCTTTCCAAGGGCCATTTAGTTCAACCCCGTCACTTTTTAAGAAGAATTTATTTATGAATTTGTTTATTTTTGGCTGTGCTGGGTCTTTTTGCTGCAGGCGGGCTTTCTCTAGTTGCAGAGAGCAGGGGTTACTGTTTGTTGCAGTGTGTGGGCTACTCTTGTTGCGGAGCAGGGGCTCCAGGCACTCCACTTTCAAGTTTATTTGCTCCAGGGCACGTGGGATCCTCCCAGACCAGGGATTGAACGCGTGTGCCCTGCATTGGCACGTGACTTCCTAACCACTAGACCACCAGGCAAGTCCCAATCCCCTCACTTTACGGACATGGAAGTAAGGCAAAGAGTGGCCAAGAATATTGTGCTCAAGGAGGCCCAGCAGTCACCAGCTCATGGTGACCAGACTAGCAGGCTGCAAAACTAGATGTAAACCCAGGCGTGCGTCTCTTTATCCCACATCTTCTCTGGGTCACAGCTGCCTTGTCACCCCAAGCTGCCTTCCCAGAGGCGACCAGGACCTGGGGAGGAGGCTCGCACTGCCAAGACACACAGGATGCCTACAGGGTTGTGAATTACAGTCACCATCAAGGAGACCAGAACACTCAACTAGGCCATTAGGTGCATCCTCTTCCCTCTAGAAAAGTCCACTTGTTAAACTGATCTAAGATCAGAAGATGACTGGATGAACACAGAAGCAGAGTGGATGAGAGGCTTTAAGGAGTGTTTCCATAAAGAGGCCAGCTTCTTCCTTGGGACAGCCCTCCACATATCCTTCCAAAATGCTTTCTTTCTTTCCATGTGCCCCACTACTCCCATGGCATCTTGTTATCCCAAGGTATTGTTTAAAATTAATTTTTGTTGGAGTAAAGCCGCTTCTGTTATCTCAAGATATTTAATTAGAAAAAAAAATTTTTTAATTTTTTCCTTGAGGGTCCCATGTTTCACTGTCCAGTGTTGAACTGGGCACCAGTGACCTCTTCTGAGGTTAATTAGGGTACAGCCAATGCCCCTAATAATGTCTTATGGATACAGCATCATATAGCATCATCCTGCCTACCAGTCACTGGATGCTAACTCTCAGCCAGGCCCTCTGCTAGACTCTTAACAAATGCCATCTTATTTAATCCCTTGGATCAATTCTACGGAGGAGACATTATTACCCCCTCCACCTCCCTTTTTAGAATCATAAAAGATTCCCCCCAACTTCCTTCTAAACTCAGTTCTTTTCTGGCTAGGTCCACTACCTCTTGCCCAAAGGCACTGATCATTGCAGATAAGTGGGCCAGAAATATTCCCATCTTGCATCCAGGAGGGCAAGGCCAACAAAACAGCGGAGACCTCAGCTCCGAAGTCCTTGAGAGCCACCCCAGCATCGCCAGCAACCACCTCCCAAACTTCTCAGCACGCAGCTATTACCCCGGCGTCTTATAAAAGGCTGCCAAGTGGAGAACCGCACAGGTGTCAGAGACAGAAGTGAACTTCGGTCAGAACCTGTAACAAGGCGGTGAGCATGGCTGGCTGGTCCTTGCTCGACAGTCTGAGTTCTTGTCGTGTTGAAAACCATCACTGCACTCTCTGCTTCTTCAGAACAACTGGGCACAGACGGGGATCTCCTACAGATTCATGGCTTTCCATACCCTCCACACTCTGACGGCTTCCAACACTATCTCCAACCCTGACTCTCCTCTAAGCTCCAGGCCCAATATCCAACCGTGGCCCCCTGCCTACAGCATGCCTGGCGCAGGCGAGGTGTGTGACAGGTAAGCGCGGGAAGAACGGCACCCCTGGGAGAACCCACCTCGGCTTTGGTGACTGACATCTCGAGGGGCCTGCCGCTGACGGTGACCGAGTCCAGCGCCGAGGACATCCGGTGGCAGAGGTGCTTGTTCTGGATGGCGAACCTCAGCTCTTCCTTGACAAAGGGTGTCAGATTAGCAAAATCCTCAAACACCAGTGACCCAGGAGGGGACAGGCAGGGGACGATGGCAGAGGCACTGACTTCCGAGGCAGAGACCTGGCCTGGGTGTTGAAGCATCATTTTGCTGAAAAGACACATGGAAACCCAAACTACTTCAAGGATCTGGGGGCTTGGGATCAAGTCCCCCCACCCTCACCTCCGCACCTGCGACCTCCAATACCCAAGTCCCACTTCCCACCACCAGGGGAAGGTCCCATTAGCCCTCGGGTTTCTGCTTTGTTTTCATTTCACACCACCATGTCTTAAGTAAAACAGGTTCTTAAAATACGCAGTTCAGTGACGTGGATAAAATGCCTGGTTGAGGTTTATAAGGGGTGGCGTTTCAGGCTATTCTGAATTCACAGGAGCTGTTAGTGTTGGCTGGTGTGCATATATGCAAAAGTAGCCTCAAACAGTCCTGAAAGAGGAAGCGCATTAAAAAAAAAAAATCAGAGAGACTCTTATGTAACCCCATGTGCAGCCTCTTTTTTCAAAAAGAAACTCGGACGGTATCTGAAACCAAGTAGAATCTATCTGTGCGTGGTAAGTAAAAGCAAGGAACGGGGAGCTTGAGTTCAGGAAACCTCTGAAGCCTCTCCCTGGGCAGTCGGATCCGAGTCCGCGAGTGAGGACAGTCACAGGGGCGGGTGTGCTGTTTCACCCCAGCTGAAGAGGGACCGGGGCGTGGGAATTCAGGTCACCCCTCAAGGTTAGTATTGGGGAAGCAAAAGACCCCAGAGCAAAGAAAAGTGAGGCGCTCAGAATGTGGACTTTTTTTGAGGAAGTGTTCAGCCCTGTGATGGTTGGAGGGGTGTGGCTGGGAGCACAGGGGGCTAGGACTGGATCTGGCATTAGGGAGCAGTGTGAGACCTGAGCTCAGCCTCCATCTGACAATCGTCTGGGAGCCCCTGCCGCATCGGCGCAGAGTCCCGCTATGGATCTTTCCAGAACCTGACCCTGGCTCTGGCTGTTCCCAATGCCTGCCGACCGCTGGAGACCATCTGACTGAATACGTGAAATAGGTGAGAGGCGGTCAAGGTCAAATCAAATGGCCTCTGAGGTCCCATCTATCTCCATCATTCTACAGCCCAGGGAACCCCAAGGGAAAAGGTGCGGGGAAGAGGCAGAAATAACGGGTCCACGGTTCCAGTTTGCAACAGCCCTCCATAAATCTCTCCCTGCCAAATACTCCCTCCAGGAGTGGGCAAGCCCCTCATCCCTGCAGTCACTTCTGCAGGGGCGATGAATGTGGAAATTGTCAGGGTGGGCGGTGCCCTTGGAGCACCCCTCTCCATGTGGGAACCTACGGTCATTAGCCACATCCCACCAGACAAGAAGCCCTTTGGCAAGCTGCTAACGTTTCCCAAGTGCCTCCTTCATACCAGAAACCTTACGTGCACTATCTCACTTCACCTTCATGAGAACCCTCTTAGGTCCCAGTCCCACTGTAGAGACGAGGTGACTAACATTTAGACAAGCTAAACAATTTGGCCAAAGTCACAGAGCTAGTAGGCGGCAGCATCAGGATTTAGAATGAAGTCTGACTCCAGAACTCATGCCCCCACTTTACAGAATATAGCATATGATTCTTTATGTTGCAAAAGCAAACAAAAAACCAGAGCACAGTTTTCTCGGGGGTTGAGAGCAGGTGTGGGGACGGGGGGGAGGGCCCTGGAGCTGAAGGGATGGACAAGGAGACGAAACAAAAAGCTATGGAAAGCTTGAACTCTGAGATGAATTCCTGAGCTTTCTCTGCCTGGGTGCACACTCGGGCTGCCCCCTGAATTCAGGGAGTGTGTGTTAGGGCATCTTTTATCCACAAAATTCCCAGACGGGTCAGAACGTCAAGACTAGAGGCCCATTTCCTCCTCTGTCATCACTCTACCTCCCAGAACCTTCTCTCTCCTCTGTGAGAAAGAGGGCTAATAACAATCACCCTATTTTCCCAGAGAATTGGGCAAGGCGTTGACGAAAGAATACCTGAATATGCTCTGGGAAAACATAATGCAACTAGGAAATATGTTATTACTGGGCCTCCCAGGGATCTTTCCAACCCAGGGCTGGCTCTGTGGGGGTCCAGGTAGATGGGTGGCTGGTCACTCTCTCTGATCTCAAACACTTAGTGAATAGAACACCCTGACCTCTACATCCCCCAGTGGATCCAAGATCCACTGATGGAGGCAAGAATTTCAGGTCAACAAATACCATCATTGTTGACTATCCAAAGAAACCCAGGAAATGTATGAACTGACTAATTCTCTCCCAGCCACATGTCATGAATCAGAACTGATGCTCTCCTATCAATTTAATCCCATAATCTTAGGATGTTGGGAGGAGACTTTTCTGGCAGGTACTAACCTCTGAGAAGCCAGCTTTCCAAAGCCAGAAAGACTTAAGATCCTCCCAGGCGTTTGTGTTTTCCCTACCTTTCCAACTTTATTAAAAACCCAATAGTTCAGGAATGGAATTCAGAGCTACCACTGGGCTGGCCTTTGTCTGGAGAATTGCACGGCTTGCTTCCACACAGGCAGTTTGAATTCCACTGCAGTTGAGTGTGGCTCCATTTTACCTCCCAAGTTTATTAATGAGCTCTCAGGGCTTGACGTCTGCTGTTTCGGTCTTTTTCTCCCTTCTCAGTATAAAGTCAGCAGTCCTGATGAAAGAAACTCAAGAATGCCAGTGGTATGCAATGTCTTTACGAAAAGCATTGGGTGGGCTTCCATGAAGATGCAAACTGGTTGTGAAAATGTTTAAAAGCTTTTCAGAAAGTAAAGCAATGGTATCTGTAGAGATTTGGGCTTTTCCTGCACTCGGTTAATATTCAGCTTATTGAGATACTTTCTTTCAGTGTCCTATTTTTTTGCCTTTTCATACTGTTCATGGGGTTCTCAAGGTAGAATATTGACGTGGTTTGCCATTCCCTTCTCCAGCGGACCATGTTTTGTCAGAACTCTCCACTGTGACCCGTCCATCTTGGGTGGCCCTGATGCTGGGAAAGATCGAAGGTGTGAGGAGAAGGGGACGACAGAGGATGAGATGGTTGGATGGCATCACTGACATGAGTTTGAGTAAACTCCGGAAGTTGGTGATGGACAGGGAAGCCTGGCATGCTGCAGTCCATGGGGTCACAAAGAGTTGGACACAACTGAGCGACTGACCTGAACTGAGACACTTTCTAGTTTTTTGTTGCCTTGTTCTCTTAAAAGTGTGATAAGCCTAGACTCAGCTGTGTCCCTGAGAAGAAAAATGAAGGTAAAGCTTCAGTTTTTCAGAAAGTTGAGACCCTTGAACATCTCCGTTTGGAGAAAAACATTTCAGAGGATTTTCTGAGCTGACTTTCTATATTGATCTTAAAATTGTCCAGACTTGTTACAAAGAACCTGCATTTGGCTTCTGCATCATTATCTCTAGTCAAAAATCGTGTCATATCATCAGTAGTTTCATCATTTTCAAGAAAGTGAAACTTTACTCATCTATGTCTCTGACTGGAAATTCAGCTCCCAGATTTTATTTCCTAGTAGCTGCTACTACATTGAATTTTCACTTTTAATTTTCATCTTTTTCCCACTAAGCACTGCTTGTAAAACATAGTAGGGAGCCAGTTCTTTCACTAACTTCCTATCTTGGTCTTTCTCCTAGCCCACTGGAAGTGGGCACATAGACACTGCAGTTGTAGGTGGAAGACTAGGCATCACGACAGAGATGATGCTTGCAGGCCTACCTACTACCATTCACAGGCTGAGCGCTCAGTGCTATGTTTCCTGGACCTCAGTCACCTTGTCTGTAAAGAGAGACCAGTACTGACTGCCCCAGTCCCTTCACAGGGCTGTCAGGAAGATCAAACGTGAAGGTGGATTTACACACATCCTGGGAAGCCATTATTACTGTGATGTGATCCACTTTCCCCCATTTCAGGGGGGTGGGGGTGGGGGCTCATAATGTTCCTGTTAATGAAATTAGGTCCTATTAATCAGAAATTAACTGGAGCCCTTAAGAAACTCAACTCAGTCACAGCTTCTCTTGCACTCTGATTGACCTCTGGGCTCTGACACATCAGATCAATTCCACCCCACTCTGTGCTGGCACCAGCTTGTCTCCACTGGTCTTAAGTACTTGAGAAATAGCCAGCTCTCACACATGAAGCCATTTCTGGTTTGGTGTCCTGGCTGTGTACTTCCTCCTCCCTGGGCCGAGTAACACTTGGAACCACTGACCCTGTCCCCTGCCCAGCCCATCTGAAAAAGGAAGAAATCATGAGCTCTGTACAGTGGGATAGACACCCAAAACTAGAGTCATTTAAGTCAGATATTCATTTTGCAACGGAGTAAAATGGGGTCCAGAAAGGTAAAGTGACTTGCCCAAGGTCACCATAAAGCTGGTGAGTGGCCCGGCCCAGGTCAAGCTGTTGACCTGCTGTTCATTTTGCTCCATCACCAACAGAAATTCACCATCGTGAGGATCAACCAAGAAGGCAAATGGAGAAGAGAGCCAATGGCCAGGTAGATGAAGGGTCAACAGCCTGAGGAGCCTGTGCCCACAAGAGAGGAGGCTTTGATAGGATTAAGACAGGGAAGGAGTATGGGGATGGGGGAGGAGAATAATTGAGAGAAAAGACCAAGGGGGAGAGAGAGAATGGTGGGGTTAAGACAGGAAGGATCCAGAGGCTGCCACAGGTGCTGGGTGCTGTATTTTATCTACACTGTGCCCCTGGAGTGCTTCCTGCAGTGCTGTCTCTGAGACCATTTAGACAGTAACAACAGCAACCCAGCCGGGTCTTCATTCAGATAATCCTTACAGCAACAGCTTACCTGTTGCAGTGTTATTCTACAACAAAGGGGAACTGCAAAACAAGGGGACAGTCATACCAATTTCTCTTTCATTTAAACTGAAAGAGAGGGAGGCCCCCGAACAGATGTGACTGTCAGCCACACTGAAATAGATGCATTCAGAGAGCACCCACATTTTCTAGTGCCCAGCTTATTTTTTTCTGGCTCTATTAAGGGGTGAGCAACTCCTTCACAGGAAAGGAAGCCTACTGTGATTTGGTAATTAAATTAGGGGAAAGAAAACGGTTAGGAGGAAAGGAAGTAATCTGAAAATGGGGTAGGGGGAGCAGAGAAGGAGAACCATCCAGTGGAAAGCACCTTGGGAAGGGAAGAGATGCCCCGTACAGAAGTCCTTTTCCCCTCACTGCCTCAGAGGCTGGCCCCTCCTAGGTCGCTTTTCTTTCAGTTAACACCACTCTAGAATCTGAAAACCTTTATCCAGAAAGGACCAATGGTTACCCGGTCCAACTAGCACCTTGTGCTCGCAAACAGGCGGAGCGGCCAGGAGCCTCTATATGGCCACACCTCCCCACTGGGGATGCTGAGGCTCCAAGACACTAAAGGCAGTGCAAGTTTCAGGGTCCCGGGCCCCTGGATCACAGATCCCATCCCTCAAAGATCTCAACTGGCTTCGCACTCTCGCTTTCCCTCCTTCCCCCCATGTGGGTCTCTCCGGATGAAAAGCAGAGAAATCCGCGAACCGCCAGAGGAAGAGACCAGAACTGGAGTCACAGGTACGAGAGAAAAGCGTGTGAGAAACTTGGAACAAGAAGTCTCCGGCACCTGTACCCGGCGCGCGCTCTCCGCCTTCTGCCCCAGGGCAGCGACAAGAGCGCGCGCCACCTCTTAAAACTTACCCAACTAACTTTCGCCGCTGGCTACCGGCGCGGTCCTACGGCCCCGCGCTCCGGGGAGGGCAGGGCGACCCCCAGCGGCCGCGCCCGCGACCCCGGCTCGCCCATTCCTTCCCCATTCATTCCGTTCCGCCCCTGGGGCAGCCGCTCCGCGAGCCCCGGCCTCCGCGCGTCTCGGGAAAGCTGGGCTCAGGAGTAGCAAGTGTCCGCGCACCGAGCCAGGGATGGAGCCGGCTGGCGAGCCCGATCGGCTCGGCCACTCTGAGCACCCACCGATCTGAGCCCCTCGATCGCGCCCGGAGAGTAAGTAAACGCGAGGGCGGCGAGGAGCTGTGCTCCGACGCCAGCGGACGACCTCTCAGTTGCCAGGAACGTTTCGCGCCCCGAGTCAAAAGAGAAAGTTCTTTGCGAGAAACTTTCTAAAGCTCGGAGGAGCAGCGGTGGCTGGGAGAGAGATTCAGCCAGAGTTCTTTCGAAGCTAGAAGCTGAGGGTCAGGTGCCGGGGGGGTTGGCACGGGGGTCGGGGACTGGTTACTAGAGGGGCTCAAAGATAATCAAAGCAAGCCATCGTCGCCGCGCTCACCTCCTGTATCCACTCGGGGCGGCCAGGGTCCGGAGGGCGGGCAGGCTCGGGGTGGGGTCTGGCTGGCTGGCTAGCTGCGGGGCCGGCTGGCGAGCACAGGGGGGCTCACGACCGGCGCGCGGGCTGGCGGGTCCGCTGGGGCGGCGGCGCAGGGTGAGCGCTGTGCAGTGCGCGCCTCTCTGCGTGCGACTGTGGCTGGCAGCGTGTTGCATCACCCGTTTTATAGCCCTCGGGCTGGCGGCGCGCCCGTACACTCTGGGTTAGCAATCCCAGGCTGACGTAATGCTATTAATAGCTTCCCCGGCGAACCAGCAGAACTAGGCTGGGCCTGAGGGCGGGAGGGGAGAGCGGGGGGCGTGGGAGGGGCCAAGGAGGAGGAGGGGAGAAGGGGGACCGGTGATGCAAGCTCTGGGAGGAGCCGGCCGCGACGAGCTCTCCCGGGACGCACGCACCCGCCCGCCCTCTCGCTCCATATCAGGACCGGAGCCGCCCGGGCTGGCCGCCAGATGTGCGCACTCCAGGCATGAGCCAATGGTGCCCGAGCCAGCGGCATGACTCCACCGCGCTGGCATCTCTCCCTCCGCTAGGCTCGGGGGGGGGGCGGGGGGCGGTGAGGTCGGAGAGGTGGGTCCTGGACGCTGCCCAGACTAGGTGAGACTGGGAAGCTAGAAACGACCTTTCTCTGAAATGCGTGGTCATTTTCTGGAGCTTCGGGAAAGTACACCCCCTCCCCTTCGCTTCCCCGTCAAAAGCCTCCCTTTCAAGTAGGGGACGGGGTCCGAAGAGAAGTGTCATTTCCCCAGTGTGGGAGAAGAGCTCAGAGGCGCCCTACGGTGAATCCACACCGTTACCCGCCGGGGGTGACCTCTGCGGCCGGGACCGTGAGAAGATCGACTTGTCAGCGACCGGCGGGCACGGTGCGCCCACGCCCGGGACTCGCAGACACCCCACATGGGCGCACACGCGGAACCGCCTCCCGGCGGCTTGGGAACCCGACGCTGAGGCCAGGGCGAGCGGCAGGGAATCTTTTTTTTAACAGCCAGAAAGCGTTTGAAATTGAGAGTGAAACGAACAAGCCCGTGAAGAGATGAGCGACCTGGAAAATCAGAGTCCCCTCAGAGAAGGGCTAAAAAGTAAGGTTGAAGCCTAGAGACTAGGAAGAAAAGTAAAGAGAAGGTGCTTTGGTCTACTCGGGCCGGGCCATGCGGGCGTCGCCCGGCTTTCTGGCAGTGTTGCGGGAAAATACACCTTCGGCTTTCGCGTGTTTTCCTGAGCCCAGAGAGGATCGCGCGGGGACCCAACCGCCCGGGCTGGAGACGCGTTAACCGCATCGCAAATTAGGCCCTGCAGCAGAAATCCTTTTCTCACTAAAGTCGGGAGGCGGGAAGGGCGGGATCTCGCGGCCCAGACTCGAGCCGAATCTTCATCAGAACTGGATCTGAATCTTAAAATCGAGTTTCCAGTTCTGATTCCCCGACCCCAGCTGTCTAGGACCAGAGACCTTCTCAACTGCTCATGGACGAATGTGGGTGGACGCGAATGTGGCCAGTTCTGTTTGGCACCTGCGGGAGAGGGAGATCTGCGCGCCCGTGGGGTTTAGGGGTACCTGATTGCACCTGCCTTTAGGGAGAG